TTGTTTGACCTAGAATTTCCCAAACTTATTTAAATTCGATACCTAATTAAGGTAGGGAAATACGTGGCTTGTTTACCTGTTTATTTTTACATAAAATTACAGGCATTTTGAGACGGTGTTTTTTCTGGAGTTTACTTTGAATCACAATTCTATATCAAACATGTACAAACAAGAATACTGCCTATGCTTACATTTAATAGTCACAACTTTTCACAATTCATTTTACAGTTTAACTGTACTCATTTTTTGAAAATGTAATGTTTATGCAAATATACTGTATGGAATCAGGGAATTAATACTCTTTCCCCTTATAGTTTTTACTTTGTGTATTAGTCAGAGTTGTCTACAGAAATAGAACCAATAGGATATATTCTACTAAAAGATATATATGTATCCTGTTTTATATATAAAGGGATTTATTACCTAAGAGATTTATGTCTCTAATCAGAGACAGAGGTAAGTCCAAAAGAGCCTATGCTCCAGTTTGAATCTGAAAGCAGGCAGGCTGCTTTACGATCAGAAAGAGCTGGTGTCTCAGTTCAGAAGTCATCAAGTAGGAGAATTCTCTCTTAATTGGAAGATGGCTGTCCTTTCTTTCTATTTGGGACTTCAGCTGATTGGATAAAACTCCCCCATAATATGGAGGACAATCTGCTTTAACCTACTGATTCAAATATCAACCACATTTTAAAACATCCTCACAGTCACACTCCAAATAATGTTTGACCAAGTATCTGGGCACTCTGTGGCCCAGTCAAGCTGACTCATAAAGTTAATGATCACACTTGGCCTGATCAAAATTTTGAGATATCTGTCCTGTGTGGGACACTGGCTTACTACAGTATAATAAAGGTTATCAACCAATGGTGGGGAAAATAGAAACCATTCTAAGAATGTCTTAGTCCATTTTATAAAGATATAGAGGAATACCTGAGGCTGAGTAATATATAAAGAAAAAAGGCTTATTTAGGTTACAGTTCTGAATATCTACAGGATATTCAAGAAGCATTGTGCCAGTATCTGCTTCTGGCAAGGGCCTCAGCTTATAATCATGGCATAAAAAAAAGGGGGGCCAGGCGCGGTGGCTCACTTCTGTAATCCCAGCACTTTGGGAGGCCGAGGTGGGCGGATCACGAAGTCAAGAGATTGAGACCATCCTGGCCAACATGGTGAAACCCCATCTCTACTAAAAATATAAATAATTAGCTGGGTATGGTGGTGGGCGCCTGTGTCCCAGCTACTCAGAAGGCTGAGACAGGAGAATCACTTGAACCCAAGAGGCAGAGGTTGCAGTGAGCCAAGACTGGGCCACTGCATTCCAGCCTGCGCAACAGAGCGAGCTCTGTCTCAATAGATAGATAAATAAATAAATAAATAAATAAATAAATAAATAAATGGGGGGCAGGAGTAGGTGTGTCACATGGCAAGAGAGGAAGAAGAGGAGGAGGATATGCCAGGCTCTTTTTAACAATCAGATCTTGTGGTAACTAACAGAATGAGACCTCATTCATTACCACAAGGAGGGCACCAAACCATTCCTGAAGAATTCACTGCCATGGCTCAAAATGAGGGTCACATTTCAACACTAGATTTGGAGAGGACAAATATTCAAACTATATCACAGAGGTATCATTGAAGGAATGCTTGTGGTTTAGGACCTGATGGTTGATGCCACTTATTAAGCTGTTGTCTTTCAAATGTAAATCCACTCTTTCATAATCTATTTTGTGAAGGCAGGGTTGGAACTGTTCATATTTTATTTCTCTTTAGAAATAAAGAGCTGAAAATTTAACCAGCTAGAGTCTTGGAAGGTGTATCCAATAAGTGACACTGGAAGGAGACTGGAAGGCAGGTGGAGGGGTAGGATATTGTTTGTTTGTTTATTTATTTATTTATTTGGCTTGCAGTGTCATCCTAGCAATAACACTAGACTTTGCAGCAGCAAATATTTTTAGCAGCAGTTCTTTCCAGTTTCCAAGATCTTTCCACATTCCCAGAATTGGTTTTATCATTCTTCCTTAATCATACCAACACCTGCCAGATACTGCCCCCTTCTAAAAACTCTCCAATCCCCAGCTCTGAAGGACCTCCCCCCACCTCCCTCCGCCACTACCATCCCTCCAACTTCTTGTGATACTCGCTCAGATTGGCAGTGTTCCCCTCCTCAGAGGTCTGGTTCCTAGTTTACCGGGCTGCTCCTCCAAACTTCCGAACTCTGACCATCCCAGCCTCTTCCCCAGCCCTGTTATCACGTAGAAAAAAATGAATTTATTGAGTGAGGACTTTGAGAATATAACTAGGATAATAGAGTAACATATTTCAAATCAATGTAGGTGAGAAGGTTTCAGTAATTAGAGGTGTCAAAAAATTGAATGGGTTGGATTGAATTTTTGATCATTGATTTAATCAAAACAAGCTGAATTGCCACTAAATGAAGATATTGCCAAGGGAAGGCAGTGTCTTCATTTACTGGCAACTCCCTTGACAATATCATCATTTAGTGGCAATTCAGTGGGAGACTGGGCTGAATGATATCTAAGGTTCTTTTCATTTGGATGATCTTACAATGTAATCCATAGTAAAATATAATCATAACTACCAGGATCAATAACCACTACCTAACAAGTACTGGATCCAATTCCTTATTTATATTATTTATAATGATTATAACAACTCTATATTGTTGGATATTACCACTCTCATTTTATAGATATAGAGAAAGTAATTGAGGATCATGCATGATAATGAATTGGCCAGGGTCACAAGAGTTTTCAAGTAGTTACAATAGGATTTGGGCTCTTATGGGTTCCACTACCAACTTCCTAATAAGTCTCAGACACGTGACTCTGGAATATTCTTTCATTCAGTCTTACAGTTCCTGATTCCTGCTAATCCTTTTGATTTTTTCCGTACAAAATATGTTAGGAGGAAAAGCAGTGAGACATCATGAGTAAAACTTGATGACAATAGTTACATATTCATCAAACCCATGTTACTTATCTGTACCCACTGCCATTTGGACATGCTGCACCTCTGTCAGAAATGCTCTTTCTTTAGCTACCTGGCAACCTCTGGCTACTCTACTCCACTGAGAAGGCTATTTGGGCCCATCTTCAGAGAGCATTAGGGGCTCCCAAATGTCCGTACAACACAACATGTGTAATTATTGAAGCTCACTGTACATTGTTCTACCTTTTTGTTTTTGCTAATCTATCTGACTGCCTTTGAGGGCAATAATTTATTCATTTTGTATACCTGACAAAATAAGTAATAGTAGCATTCAAAACATTTTAAATAGTGTGTCAAGTCAATTCCTGGTTTGTGATAATGGGGAAGTTTATACAATTTTTCTACAACTTATTGCTCCCAGAGGGGAGCGTTTCAAGAAGGGCATGGGTAATGGTTTTGAACATTACAGTTGGGCAAAACTGTTTAATTTTTCTAAGCCTAGCTCATCAGAGAGACTTTTCAGCAGTTTCTAACATGATACAAAAGTCATATGGCAGAAAGTGTCCATTGAATTCAGGAGAAAGATCATTTGATTAACCATTTTGAGACAAGCCCCAGTGGAACAGTGGGAGTTGAAACAGGGAGTTGAAACCAGTGGAACAGTGGGAGTTGAAACAGTGAGCCAAACATTACACTGAACATAAAGAAGAGGCAGAGGTACAGACCACTCTCATGAATATTTACTTTATATAGAGGGGATGGGCAATACATACAATTGGTTGTTGTTCTAAGGAGTTTCCTTTATTAGTTTGGAGAAGGGGAGATTTGAACATATAGTAATGAAATGTTTAAAGGAAAGAGGCAATATAGAGAAGTTAACAAGGAGAGGAACAATCTGCAGAGCTAGATCTGAGGAGGCTCCTAGGAGGGAAATGGCATGGAAATGCAAATGGACGGATTTATTTGAGACAAGAGAAGGGATGCCATTTTTTTTCCCCCATTTTGACAGGGTTACATGGAAAAGGATAATGTGGATATTGACAAGATTATAGGCTTTTAGGTAGTATTGATGTAACCCCAGTGAGGGCTTCAAAAGCAATGGTAGCATAGCACACAATTAGGAGCACATGGTCTAAGGGACAACCCTGGATTTATATTCCAGTTCACTCTCTTAAGAGCATAACCTTGAGAAAGCAATTTAACATGCTAGTGCCTTGTTTCCCAGTGATTATAATCATGCACTTACCCTCCTTGAGTGGTCTAAAGAATTGATCAGTTAACACACATAAATTCATATAACAGTGCTGTGCATAGTAAGCTCTATATATGTTCACCAGCATCAGAGTGTGAAGCACGGATTGTCCCACTTCCGCTGGAAGTGCCTGAGTGATGGTAGATTCAGAGATTTTAATAGAAGACTATTTGAAGGGAATAACGCAGAGCACAAAAAGACCTGGTGCAACATAAAAGTGTTAAGCAGCATCGAGGACCCAGTTTAAATTGGGGGTCACGGCCGGGCGTGGTAGCTCACGCCTGTAATTTCAGCACTTTGGGAGGCTGAGACGGGCAGATCACCTGAGGTCAGGAGTTTGAGAACAGCCTGACCAATATAGTAAAACCCCGTTTCTACTAAAAATACAAAAAAAAAAATTAGCCAGGCGTTGTGGCGTGCGCCTGTAGTCCCAGCTACTCGGGAGGCTGAAATGGGAGAATTGCTTGAACCCTGGAGGCGGAGGTAGCAGTGAGCTAAGATCCTGGCACTGCACTCCAGCCTGGGCGACAGAGAGAGACTCGGCAAAAAATAAATAAATAAATAAATAATAAATTAATTAATTAAGGGTCACAAATATGTATTCCAACCATCTTCAAGCTTCTCCTCGCTTCACCTGGTATAGATGGATGGGAAGAAGGCAGACAGTTGGGTCAACCCAACTAGAAGCTGTGAAGGAACAACAATGAGGTAGTGGAATTGAGAACCCTAACAATAGATAGTCTGAAGTAACAGAACATGGAGACTAAGTTAGGTATGTTAACAAATAAAAGGGGCTTTATAAAGAGAGAGACTAGAGAAATGAAGGGTAGAAAAGGTGGGAAATTGGTATTCTTCAATTTTCTGACGAAGATGAATAGAATATAGGGAATTATGGTAAACTGACTTCCATAATTCAAAGATACTGCAGACAACTTGAGGCCTTGCCTTCCCTGCACTGGACTGGAATACAACTGGGCAAAGGGCGGGGCCCATAGCAGGGAGGAGAATAAAGAGAATTGTGATGGAACTGGGTGGGGGCAGGGTTTGAAGGCTGTGAGTGTTGGACCCCATAATCACTTGGTCCAGAACAGGCAGTAGGCGTCAGGGGGCGCCCTAAGGCTCCACGGCATGTGCCTGTACTGCTGGGACATTGAGCCTTCCCAAGTCAGCCCTGTGAGTCTGCTGGGGTCTATAACCTCACCTCTGCTACTCTGTCCTGTGCCTTGAGCTCCAGGCCACTGTGGCCTTGGCCATGGTACTTCTAGCTCTTACAAATGTAGTTTGGTGGTTGGGGTTGGGAAATTCCAGGTGATGTAGCCAGACTACATCCTGACTGCTGGACCCCCTGAAACAAGACAAAGCTCCACCTATTGTGTGCTTAGAGGTCAGGTACATCAACTGTATGTTGACTGCCCCATTGACCTGCCCTAGGAGGTGGAGTGGAAATTACAGAAGTAGGGAGCAGGATAAAGTTCTCAATTGCCAGATGTGGAACAGATTTCTCTTGGGTCTTCTGGTTAAAAGACTGGATGAAAATGAGTGAAGGAAGAGGTATTTAAGGTACAATCAAGAAATAGAGGAAGTGGTGAGAATCTCACTAACAGCCAAGCTCCCTGTGCTTCAGAAAACCACATGATCTCAATACATCACCAATTATTCCTAGGCTTTGAAACCAGATTGAAGACTAGATTGTTCAATGGCACCGCTGAAGTCCTGTACAAGCAGAAACATGCATTTTTCTATTTCTTGTACATTCTTTCCCTCCTGAATAATTGTTTTCTTATTTTTCATACTCTGCCTTTTATCTGTAAGGTGCCTCACAGTTGGTTCTTTTTATCATAATACTGTCTCCATCTTCCACCACAATTTTTATCTTAGATGTTTTAATTCTGAACCTACCTTTTTTTCTTTTTTCTTTTTGTTTTTTTTTTTTAACCTGCCTCTTATAGTCGAAATGATTCATATAATACATAAATGTAAAAGTAGCATAGGCTTACTAATAACTAATTTACTATTTTTTAATGACTTTTTTGTGTGTCAATGTGTTTTAATTTTGCATATTATATAGGAAGGACCAAGACAACATCATCCTTCAGAAGTCACTGAGCGGCAGGTAATGTTCAAATAAAGAACTAGGTTCTGGTTGTTTAAACATTGTGCATGTAACTTGTTCTTTATGTAGTTGTCCCTAACATAATAGAACTTGTATTAAGTAGACACTTCGGTATATTTCTTGGGACTCTGGGATCTCATGACTACTATTGGAATGGGTCTTAACTAGAGTAAAGTAAATGACTTATGTTATTTTTTAATGTAACATTTGATACATATACAAAAACATATGTGGCAGATATAATTTATAAACTATAATATGTCTCCCATTTAAGGATTAAGATATTCGGTATTTCTGAATCCAGCTAGGGAATGCTTTTCTATTCTACCTCCTAAGATCTCTCCCAGAGGTAACCACCATCTGGAATTTTAGTTACATCAATCTCTTCCTTTTCTTTAATAGTTTGTTACATAGGTGCCTCTATGAGTGCATTATCTGCTTTTGCTTGGGTTTGAACTTTATAAACATAAGATCACACAAAATTTAGTGTATGATTTACTCTTTCTTCTCAATATTATTTCCTAAGATCTATCTATATTGCTGTATATAGTTTCTTTATTTTCACTGCTGTTCAATATTTTGTCATGGAACATATCACAGTTCATTAATGCTTTCTCTTGTTTATGGACATTGTGTTATTTTTACATTTTCCTAAAATGAATAGTACTACTGCAAACATTCTAGTACACGGCTTCTTTCCCCATGCACAAGAATGCCTTGATTATTTAGGCAGGAGTGCAATGGTTAAATCACAGGGAAAGCAAATTTTCTATTGTTAAAAAGTAGTGCCACATTGTTTTCAAAGCAATTGTTCAACTTTATACTCCATTAGCAGTGGATTTTTTAAAAAGTTTGTTTTCAAAGCAATTCTACCAATTTATACTTCATTGGAAGTGGATAAAAAGTTATTGTTATTCATATCCTTTTTATTCTATTACTGTATTTCATTAGCTTCAAAGAATTCTAGTTTGATCTCCTAGGTCTCTGCTACTTGTAGATACCATATACAATGGTGGCATAAAAATCTATGTGCATCATGCAACATTTCAAAGGAGTGAATAATTGTTTTCTTGCTTCTGTAGAGAAAATTCGCTAGGTGTCTTTAATAACATTATTTTTAAAGTAAAAGTAAACACACTAATCCATGTGTCTGGACCTATTTAAATGTCCACAGTGGTAAGATGAGAATCAAGAATAGTCTATTTGAAAACTCTACTGATGCTCCAATGTGGTTTTCTTCACCTATGAACCACACATTTGAACAAAAGGGATTTTCCCCCCTATTTCTGTGTAGTTACGTAAACCGTTTGCAGTGGTGGTGTTTACCTTTTTTATTGACACAAACCAAAAATATAATCAGCATGTTATCTTATATATGTTACAAAAAAGTATGATTTTTCTTTCATTTTAATTTTTTTAAAGCTTGCAAATAAACGTATTCAGAATATGCAAAACCTAAAGAAAGAGAAGAGGAGATTGAATAAAAGGTTTGCAAGGCCTTCTCCTATTCCAGAACCAGGACTCCTAGTAAGTATAGAGGTTTCACTAAAATTAACACATCATTAAATGCAACTGACATCCTCATTTTAATTCATGTAATATTCACTACAAATTTTGTTTTTCCCTTTCTCTTTGAGAAATTTGTAATTTCAGTCTTAAAAGTCTTATAATCAAAGTCTCATCTATTATTTAAATATCCTTTGCAGTCATCTCCTGTAGGTGATATGGTTTAATGAAAAGAGGATTATCTTTGAAACCAGGTTGTTCTGGACTCCAGTCCTTGTTTTGCCATATGTTCGATGACTACATAAGGTTAATCACTTAAATCTTTTGGCTATATATCTGAAAATTTATTGCCAAATTTAAGGTCACATTAGTTCTCTTATATATTATCTCCTAGCAGTTTTGCAGTCGTATATGTTAAATTTAGGTCTATGATCCAAAGCGAGTTAATGTTAATGAAAGGTGTCAGTGCCCAGATTATCATTATCATTTTCATGTAGATATCAAGTTCTAATACCATTTGTTGAAAAGACTATCTTTTCTCTATTGTATTGCCTTTGCTTCCATATCAAAGGTTTATTGACTATATATTTATGTGGGTTTATTTCTGAGTCCCCTATTCTGTTTCATTGAATCCTGCTTTTCACCAGTACTATACTGTCTTGAAAACTATAGATTTACAGTAAGTCTAGAAATCAGGTAGTGTCACTCTTCTTCTGTTCTTCTCCCTCAATGTTGTGTTGGCTATTCTGGAACTTTTCCCTTTCAATATGAAATTTACAATCAGTTTGGTGAAATCTACAAAGTAACTTGCTAGAATTTTTATTGGGATTGTGCTGGATCCAAAGGATCAGTTTGGAAATAACTGCTAGATCTGTCAATTACTGTTAGAAGGAATTGACATTTCCAGCTATAATAGCAGATTTGTCTATTTCTTCGCGCACTTTTATCAGTTTTTGCCTCACATATTGTGACGTTGTGTTGTTAGGCACAAACACATTAAGGATTACTATGTAATTTTACCTCATTATTACTATGTAATGCCCCTCTTTATCATTGATAATTTTCTTGTTCTGAAGTCTGATTTGTCTGAAATTAATAATCCTTCTTCAGCTTTCTTTTGATTATTGTTAGCAAGGTATATCTTTCTCCATCCCTTTGACTCTATCTACCCTTATACTTAAAATGAGTTTCTTGTAAACAACATACAGTTGTGTATTGTATTTTTATTTACTCTGACAGTGTTTGTCTTTAAGATCATTGACATCTGAAGTGATTATTGATATAGTTGAGTTAGTATGTGCCTTATCTGTTACTGTCTTTTAGTTGTGGACTTGTTTTTTCTTTCATTTATGTATTTTGTTTTTCCATTCTTCTTCTGCATTCTCTAGTTTTGAGCAATTTATATTATTCAATATTCTCTCCTGTCTTAGCATATCAATTATACTTGTTTTATTTTATTTTTTAACTTTTTTAGTGGTTTCCTTTGCATTTGAACTATATATTTATAATTTGTTCAAGTTCACTTTCAAATAACACTATACTACTTTATGGGTAATGCAGTTACCTTATGACACAGTATTCCCATTCTCCTTTTCTTACTCTTAATAACATTATTGTCATTCACTTCTCCATAAAACATAAAAAACACATACATTGTTGCAATTATTATTTTGAACAAATTATTACTTAGATCAGTTAGAATAAGACAGATAAAATATTTTATTTTACTTTTTTTTTTTTTTTCATTTCTAATGCTCTTCCTTTCTTTATGTACGTTCAAGTTTCTGACTTCAACATTTTCCTTTTCTCTGAAAATTTCTTAACTATCGCTATGTGGGCAAGCCTACTAGGAACAAATATTCCTTCCATTTTTGTTTGTCTGAGGAAGTCTTTAGTTCTCTTTCACTTTGGAAGGATACTTGCACTTGATACGGAATCCTAGGTTTCTGCTCTTTTTCTTTGAACACTTTAAATATCTTACTCCATTCTCTTATTACTTGCATGATTTCTGTAAAGAAATCCTATGTTATTGTTGTTATTCATGTTCCTATTTATGTAAGTTATCCTACCACTTTTCCACAGCTTCTTTCAAGATTTCATTTTTGTCTGATTTTTTTGCAGTTTAAATATCATATGTCTAGATGTAGACATTTATCTGGTGTTTATCCTGTTTTGTGTCTTACAAATTTTCTGGATCTGTGGTTTGTTGTCTATCATTAACTTTAGAAGGTTCTCATCTATTTTTATGTCAGTATTTATTCTGTTTCTCCTCCTTCTATTCCTTCTTTCCTTTCTTTCTTCTTCCTTCTTCTTTCTTCTTCCTCTTCCTCTCCTTCTTCTTCCTTCTTTTTTCTCCAATTATATATATTTATACTTTTGTAATTTTTGCTTAGTTTTTTAATAATGTATTCCTTTTTTTAATACTTTTTTCTCTTTACTGTTAGTTTGGAAAGTTTCTATTTACATATCTTTAAGCTAATTATTTTTTTTCTCTGAGTTCAGCCTATTAATGAGTCTATCAATGTCATGCTTCATCTCCATTAAAATATTTTAGACTTTTAGTGTTAGTTTGATTTCTTCTTAGATTTTCCATTTTGTCTTATATTACCCATCTTTTCTTGCATTATGTCCACTTTTCTATTAGAACTTAGCATATTTGTCATAATTATTGTAAGTTCCTAGTCTGATAATTCTAAAATATCTGCTATTATCTGAGCCTGGATCTGATTGATGCTTACTTTTTCACTTCAGATTGTTTCTACCCTTTAGTGTGTCTTGTCATTTTTTACTGAAAGCTGGAAACGATGTATTGGGTAACAGAAACTAAGAAAGATAAGCCTGTAGTGCAGGTTTTATGCTTATCTGACTAATATTTAGGCTGCATTTTCTGTTTACTTGCAGCTGTAATATCAGAGGGTAAAATTTCCCCTGATTCAGTTTTGTCTTCCTCCATATTTTTGGTTTTGCTAGGGACTCTTTCTTAAATAATATCTGCAGCTTGTAATTTTTTAAAGCTGGAATCCTCTGATATATACAGGAGACTAATTGATGTGTTGGTAAGTTGTAGGGGAAGAAGGGTTCCATAGCTTATGATTTGGATTCAGTCTTTAAGTGAGTCTGTATCTATAACTGCCCAATGGGCTCATTTTACAAACTACCCAGATAGAGCCAATTTATCAAGACAGGGGAATTGCAATAGAAAAAGAGTTTAATACACATAGAGCCAGCTAAACAGGAGACTAGAGCTTTATTATTACTCAAATCAGCCTCTCTGAAAATTTGGAGGCTAAGCTTTTTCAAGGATAGTTTTATGGGCAGGGGCCTATGGGAATGGGCTGTTGGTTGGTTGGGAATGAAATCACAGGGGTACGGAAAATGCCCCCTCATGAGATGAATCCACTTCTGGGTGGGGACCACAGGACTAGTTGAGCTAAGGGTCTTGGGTCCATATCAGGCTGCCTGGTCATCAGAAATGCAAAAGCCTGAAAAGACATGTCAAAAGGTCAATCCTAGTTTCTACAATAGTGAATAGGGGAAGTTGCAAATCTTGTGACCTCCAGAATAATGGCTGGTAATCATTTGACTATGCCTGCATCTTAGCAGAATTCAGGCCACTCTCATCCTCCTAACCTTGTGGCCTTTCATTAGTTTTACAAAGGTGGTTTAGTTTTGGGGACAGGCTATTATGAAACTGTAAACTAAATTTCTCCTATAGTTAGCTTTGTCCATGCCCTGGAATAACCAAGGGCAGTTGGGAGGTGAAAGGCAAGATGGAGTTGGTTAGATCAGAAGTCTTTACTGTCATAAGTTTTCACTGCAAGAGCAGTTTCCTATCCCTAGGATGTAAATTTCACAACTTTTTCTTTGCTATTCTCTCCATTAGATGAGATAGGAAAGCTATAGGGAACAGGAGTTGCATATTTCCTTTCCCCTAAGTCACTTAGAATTTGGTAAAACCCAATTTATTTAGGCTCTGCTAAAATAGTTTCTCTTGAGAGCATGCTCTGGTAAAGAGAATGGAGAGCTCTGAGGTATTTTTAAATGATAACTTTTCCCCTTTCACTACTAGAAGCAAAAAAAGATTGTTCTCTGATCTTTACAGAGAGATCTAGTGAGGCTCCTGGAGGTAAAATTTAGGAAACTATGGAAGCTTCCTTAAGACTGTCCTCTCTACACCCAAAGCTTTTAATTTAAGCTCATGCATACTGAGCTTCCAGCCATTCATCAAATAAAGTTGACATGTTCCTACTGGTATTGGCCTTAGAGACAAGGCTTCTGTTCCTGGGAAGTTCTGATTCTCCACTTGTCTGTCTCTCTGGTTTTCAGGGTAGTAGTTTGCCCTGTGCCCTCACTTCTCTGATGAATATAACAAGATTAATTGCTTTTCAGTTTGTTCTGACTTTTTCTTATTGTAAGGATGGAAGGAACAAGCTCTTTATATGTCAGACTGGAAAGCTCCACTTAAATCTCTTTGATCAAAATTGGTTTACTGGCCACCCCTAGCTGCAAATAAATTTAGAAATGTGAAAAATTAAACTGACTTCCTTGCTGCCCTGAAGAGAATAGAGGTACCATTAGCATGGAAGAAAGTACTTTCCTTCCTTTTATAGACTATGAGGATTCTCTTTCTGTAACTTCCTCCTCTTTGAGATTTTGGAGAAAATGCATATTATGAGTAAAAGTTCAACCCATTGGCTTTGTTTTCCATTTGTTTTTGCATAATGAAGGGAACTTACACATTGCCATACGGAAACCCAGGACCATCAACTATACACAGTTAGTGTTTTGCCTTAAATATCAACAAACCTCTTCCCTTGCTGATATACCAATGTTTATAACCCCAACCCCATAATCTGTGTCTCTCTTTTAAGCATTAAAATATGCCTGTGCAACATATATTTTCACCTTTCAAGTTATCTCTTAGTATAAAGTATAATAATTTGAGACATAGGAAAGAAAAGAGAATTATTCCTGAATCTACCTTTCTATAGTGCAAGACAATTGCCATCATTTCTGAATCAAGTACCTCTTGATTCACTTACACACAGTTATTGGTTACTCTTTCTATCTCTTTTTCATTTCAATATCTAGTACCATCAATCTTTTTTTCTTCCATGACTTGGCCCTTAACAAACCATCTAAGGTTTTTAATTTCAAAAGCTCCCGTTTTTAACTAAAGTTAGAACTACCATTTGATCCAGCAATCCCACTACTGGGTATCTACCCAGAGGAAAATAAGTCGTTATATCAAAAAGGTACTTACACAGGCATGTTTATAGAAGTGCAGTTTGCAATT